GCTTGTCCTCTACTTTTGTGTAATTTTTCTGAGTTTATCAATAATTTTTTTTTTTTCAAAAAATAAAATAAAAAATCAGGTACACATCCTGTCCAAATTCACCAGGTTGAGTTGGGTCGAGCTGAATAGGGTTCAACCCACATACTATCCACTTTTCCAAATCTACTGTATTGATTCCGCAACCCAACTTCATCTTCACTTTACCCAATAAGAAAAATCTATAAATTGCAGATGCATTTCATCCATTATTTACCAAAAACCTTACCTGCCTGCACGCTTTGAGAATCAAAACATTCGATCAGATTTCATTTAATATAAAGAGGATAGATAGAGATTAGAGAGAGAAAAAAAAGAAGGAACCATTAAATTGATGCCTTTATTCTGTATAAACAAACCAAAGTACCAACTACCATATACAACAACACATAGCTTAGTTACTCTAAAAACTAAAAACCCAACACCAAAACATGCACCAAATCTCTTCTTTTCTTCGTTTTCTTATAAATGGCGCCTAATTTCTTCATATAGAAAGTTGGGTTTTTCTTTTTCAACAAAAGCTGCTTCTTTTTCTTCTTCTTCTTCGGTTTTTATGGAGGGTGAGAAGAAAGAGATTACATTTTCAGAATCTGGGGATTATTCTAAAGAATTGGGAATTGCTGTTATTGTTGTGCAGATGGCTTGTTCTCTTTGTCAGAGAGTACAAGAGAGTTTGGTTTCTAAGACTAATGACCAGGTTCAGTCAAAAGATGACGATTCACTTGTCACTGTTGCAGGTAATCTTTTATTTGGCTTTTTTTTTTCTTAAACAATTATGGCCTTATGGGCATGTCTTTAATTAAATTACTAAGAAATGGGTTGGTCTTCAATCTTCGTTTTATGTTAAGAGTATGGAATTGCTACAGTGCTTAATGAGGTTTTGATTTCGATTGGCTCTTTTACTACATTTCCCCCCTTTACATTACTTATTTCTTTGAATTTCAATTCCATCATAATGTTTTTACTTATTTGATTGATTTCGGGGTGGTAGGCTTTAGTTGATAGATGACATAATGTTTTTACTTATTTCTTTGTTTTTGCTAGTGAAAGTTGAAAATTTATCTGATAATCCTGAAAATCTAACTGACATGAGTGGAATTGGTGCTCTGGTTAATTGGTAAAAAAACTAGCTTTTAATTGAAGATGAGCTTAACTGAGAGAATTTATTAATGTACCGTTTACTTCCAACACTTTAATAGGATTCAGCTTACACCATGATGTTGTTTCTAAGATCATTTCATTTTCTATTTTCAACCAAACCTTTAGAAAGAGAAATAATCTTAATACTTATGTGATACCAATTATTGATGAAGAAGTGGAATGTAGATAGTTAATTAAGCATCAATTGGATACCAAATAGTAAGTTACTCCGTGGCTCTGAAAGTTTTAACAGCAGCTCCTTCTTTGCTATATATATCTGTGTAAAACATCATATGCCAGTATATTCATGTTCTAATTTTAATGGTGTCAACTTTCAAGTGATAAGTTTAAGACTTCAAGCTCTACATCATTCTGGGATCTTCAGTATGGAGTTATAGCTATGTATACCTAGGTAACAAGGATGCTCCTTTTTCACCCTAAGAATGATATTCCAAATTATGGAAATCTTCTGAATCTGATACTCTGACCTGCACCGTGTCGTGCTCACATGCTAACGTACTTAAGTACGATAGAGAATTGTTGTAACATTTTAGAATGCTCTGTGGTGCTCTATTCTGACTGATTCTTGATATTGTTATATTAACAGATTGGAGTGTTCAAGCAACTGTTAGTTGGATGCTTTCTGAGTGCTTTGGAAGCAGAAACATTTCAATTGTTGCTGAAGAAGATGTTCAGTCTCTATCAAAATCTGATTCTATAGGCCTATTGGAAACTGTGGTCAAGACTGTCAATGAGTGCCTAGCCGAAGCACCCAAATTTGGACTTAATTGTCCGGTTAGAGCCCTCGGGGCAACAGAGGTTCTTGAGGCCATTAGTAGATGCAATTCGACTGGGGGTCCCAAAGGAAGGCATTGGGTTCTTGATCCCGTGGATGGCACATTGGGATTTGTACGTGGTGACCAATATGCCGTGGCTCTAGCCATGATAGAAGATGGGAAAGTTGTTCTTGGTGTTCTTGGGTGCCCCAATTATCCAATGAACAAAGAGTGGCTAAACTATCATCATCGTTATTACTGGATGATGTCTAAGTTGTCTCCACTGTCGGAATCATGGGAGCAAGGCTGTGTGATGTATGCAAAGAGAGGTAGCGGAGAGGCATGGATGCAGCCATTAGTTCAGACAAATATGAAGTATGTCTGGCCGAACTCTGCAAGAGCAATCCGGGTATCATTGATTGATGATCCAGCACTAGCAACATTCTGTGAACCTGTTGAGAAGGCTAATTCAAGTCACTCCTTCACAGCAGGATTGGCTCACAGTGTTGGACTTAGGTGCATTTTCTCCCTCTATTTCTTTTAATAAACTTTTATCTACCTGTTTACAATTTGAAATGATATTCCATTTCTTTTCGGTAAATACTTTGATGGTATTTAATTGTATATGTGTAGGTAAATAGCGTCATGACTTAAAACCTAAACTTATATCATTTTTATATCATTTATTGTGGCGCTTATATAAAAGAATTTTGAAACCCATAGGCACGTAGCTAAGTTCTATGATGTAGCCATGCACAGTTAGGGCTGCCCAGCAATTGAAACTAGTGGTATGCTTTTCTCTCTGAGTCCCTGTCGTTGTAGTACTCTATCACCTCAACTTTTAATTGCAAAAGATATATGTACTCATTTTGAAATAAGATTGAGTTGAATCTTATTCCAAATTATTTGATTATATCGTTATACCCATAATAGTGTCTGATTTGAGATGAGCGGTGTTTCTACATATTGCATAAATTTGTCTGCTATTGATATCCAAATTTAGCATCTTAGAACCCTGTTTTTTCTTGTGTTTTCTAATTCATGCTGATAAATAGGCCCTTCATGCCTGCAATTTATATTGAGTTATTGACCAAACAAAAGGGACTTGGCAGGCAAGATGTAAATGGAAAGGAGCATCCATCGTTTTTTAAGAAGCAAACTGTACATAAATATTTGGCAACCGAATAATAAGTGTAGATTGAGATAGCTTACACTACAACAATGATAGTTACTAAATATTTGGCAAAAAAATTGGTGAAAACTCGTTGATAGCCTAAGTAGCAACTGTATGGTGATCTGACAATCATATTTCTGATTCAGTGAATCTATAATAACTCACGAACATCAGCACATCAGATCTTTCTGAGATCAGTTGCTCTGGTTTCACATGTTAGATCAAGACTGACTCATACACTCATACCCTCAACCTAGGTATAGCAAATCTTCTTTCTCAAAGCATGTGTCGGTTGTTGTTCTACAATGTGTAGTTACAGCTATAACCAGAGTATGAACTGGTGCACTGAGTCATGCTATGTTTTGGTTTATAATATGAAGTATGAACCGCTAGTCGATGAATTTAGTCATGCTTGTCCGTGTTATGGCATATTACAAAGTATTAAAGAAATAGCATTACTACTGGTCTAGTGGTCAGGATATTGGACTCTGAAGCCAGAAACCCAAGTTCAAATCTCGGTGGGACCTAAACTTTTTTTTATCAATGGATCGCTATGGTATATGGAATCTGAAAACGTAAAATGCTAGTTGAATAAAACATGGTACTATAGGGGTATAGATAATTGTCTTACTAACAAATCAAAACCCTTGCAACCCCAAATTTCTGGGATAGCTTTTCCTCTCTGCTTCACAAGTTTGTAACAAATTGAAATACAGAACCAACTTTTTGCTTTCCAATCATGTGTACCACATAGAAAAAACCTATATATCTTTCTGTTATAATGTCATGCGATTAGGCGAGACCGCAAGAAGTTGCATGAATCCTTGCAAAGTAAATCAGAACGCTAGGAGATATGTTCCAAATCGTTGTTGGTCCACAATTAGGAACACACGTTT